TATTATCACAGAACTGCATAGAATATAGTATGTCTTACCTAGCTTTGTCAATACACAGTCTCTCTATTTTCATATATTAGATTCTAAAGGAAAATCATAAGAACTAAATAACTCAGACTAGGAATCAATATGTGAGGTAACGTGGGCTGGTGGAAAGTGTAAACTTCAGCACCCATGATGTAGCTTTCAACGAGTGCTATCGTCAGTGACGACAAAATATCATTAACTTAAACTCACACCGTATAGCAACATTTGGGACGAAGTGAAACGCCAGAGGAGCAATTCTGAAGGCTAAATAGTATTTATGATAAAAAAGGCTATCATGATAAAACCAGTTTCCAAGTCTATCCACGGTAGGACCCTAATGAATTAAAAGTTGAAAGTTAGGTAAGCTCAATTTTAATAATATTAGCGAACACTTATCTTTAGTTTTGAATTATAGTACCAACCAATTATTAAGACATCTGAATTTAATACTTGGCTACGGCTATAACAAAAAATGTTCATCGTGTTCATCGTGACAAAATCTGCTAAACAACTAACTTAGAGAGAATAATTTTCAAAATAATTGTAACTATATTAAAGTGTTACTTATACATAGATGATAGTAACATTCTGTAAAAAATCATCAAAAAGATGTAGTTAGCCATGTTTATGAGTTACTAATACCAGCAACTGTAACGTACAGATGAACACAGTCAAGTCTCTGTTCATAGATTTTTGTAAAGATTCGCCTGACGTTCATTGCTTTTAAAAGGATATGATGTCGAAAAAAGGAGACTTTCTCAGTCAAATACACAAAGGCGTATTGTAAAAGTAAAAAACAAATAAAAGTCGTTTTGGACAGGTTACAAGGTAAATTCTTTTGAATATATTTTGAACACAATAATGGTTATAATACATTAAAACTAACAAAAGACTGCAAAAAGTACGACGTCACATTTCGATTATAATAAAAATAAAATTCGTGTCAGAATGATCAATTAGAAAGTTATATGCTACGTACATGTGCACAGATTGTATAAACTCATTGAGACATTACAAGGCCGTAATTTACAGAATCCGCAGTTTTATTTGTGTAGCGATTAACTATACACCAGGCGTTAAAACAAGTCACATAATTTAGAAATCATTATCTTGAGACCAACAAGATTTTCAAGCCTAAATGAAAATGAAAAGAATAAAAATAGTTCTTCATCGTAAATAAGTATATCGACTTACATGTTTATATGCCGGTCAAAAAAACAACAAAAAATTATAGAGACAGCAGGTAAAATCCGATATCCAATATCCAGTATCCGATACCCAAATAAGCAAAGAGATATAGTGTAAAAACCAAAACGTTACTAGCAGCGCTGACGAATATAAATAGTGTGCGAAATTCATTATTATGGTGTTAAATTCAGTAAATACTGAATAATATAATACATTTATTGGATGCGGTAATTGCTAATACAGAGGAAAATGGTAGAGAGGATATTTAAAGGATTTTTGGGTTTCTGATACAAACCACTCATACGCACAAAGACAGTGTAGCCATTGGCAATTATGACAACCTCAGTAGTTATACCCGACGCACACTTGTTGTAGTTGATGTGACTTACAGCGCACTATACCACTTCTGTGTAAGCCATTCAAACAATCAGGCGCAGATAAGTTATGTCTTTACATTTTAAATATTCTTCAAATAAACATACTTTCAATCTTACTAGTTCTTGACATCCGTTTTGACTCAGTGTTTTGTTTACACGATTTGAAAGGTAAACGAGACCAAAGAATCGTCAAATTGTTAATATCATTGACAATATCACAAGTACTTTAATCGAGATGGTTAAAATAATAGACATTTCTGAGTAATCACCACCATTATCATTATATTCATGATTCCATCCTATTCAGGTAAACTCTATGATGAGGCAAGCATTCTTTCTAAGTTCATCTTCTAGGTTCTCGTACACATTTTGAATGGTTCACGCTGAGAAACTTTCAACTACTTTTAGTGGATGCGTAGAATTCAAAGTACGGTTAACTACTTTAACGACACAGGATCTGGCTCCATTTTGAAGGAACAGTTGATCCGCAAATAAATAAATTTTCCCTTCAATTTCCATGTATCGTAATTAGGCAGACTCGTTTATGCAACGGAGAAAATTGAACATGTCATTTTACGAAAATATCACTGAGGAGGTATAGAGGTTCGAGTCACAGAATCATGAACACTTCTTTAAACCGATTAATTTCGAATCCTGAATCTTTTACAGGAAGAAGGAAGACGATATCGACCACGTGATATAAGTACATTTGATGGTGATTTCGTGGCATCAAAGAAATTCCGAAACGTACCGGAGAATAAATGTCACTACAGAGAAGCAGACAGTAGGTCCACTATTACACTTGATTTTTCCCAGTAAAAGTCAAATCACTCCACAGGAATGGGGTTAGGTAGCTTAAAATTATGTACGATATCTAATAGAGTACAGTGATACATCAGAACTGAGTGTATGACAGGAAACCGTCATTCTTATGTAACGAAATATATGAGTATCCTACAGGCGTGAACAGACACGGAAATAGTAGCATATAACGGCAAACTAATTAACGTATTTAAAAAAAATTAACATCTGCTTATGGTGTAGGTGATAAAATTATAACACGTTCGTATGAGCACTTTAGAATAGTGTGACACTAACTTGTGACTTATAGTTTACCATTTGTGTGTATGACAACAGTAAAAATTTAGAATGTCTGTCGGACGAAATATAACGGAAATCGATCTGAAACGCTGACAAAATGTACGATGAGAGAAAAGTTTGATATGAACGTGCTTTAACAAGCAGCAGTAGAGTTTGGCGCCCATCAGCAACTAATGATTGAACGTCTATATAGCATATAGTTTTCGTACGTAGGACAAGGACAATCAAGCCCCAAAATAATAACTTCATTGAATATTTTCATTGCTGCACTGCGATTGATATTAATTATAAATGCGATATCAATGTACGTACTGGCTGGTATTATGTTCTGATTTACAGTATATTGTGAAATGCTATTAACTGAACTAGTGTTGTGTGGAGTTATAGGTATGTGAACAAATAAGATGAAATTTGATGAATATATACACATTATAGCATGTCCAATAGAGTAGACGAATCGCTCCAGATAAATTAAGAGAGTGAAGGCGGGATTATCCTCTGAAAATCGATGAAAACGGTTGCGGCGTACAAATACGATGAGTGAAAAGAATTTACTGCTAATGAATTTATGACTTCAAACTTATTTCTATGATAGCGCTGCTAATCGTTTTTGGAAACATGCTATTATCAGCGTGCAGGAGGTCCTTTCGAATGCTAAGACTGATAGTTCATGTTTATGAACATGTCGTTACTCTAAAAATTTACTTGGTAGTTGTCAAGATCTTCGGGGTACGAGCAGCTGATAAGTACATTCGAAATATCCTCGTCACGCCGCGATCTGATTCCATTTCGCACGGACAGTCGGATATGCAATGTGATAGATATTCTCCTCACTTTCCGTGCATCATACATAGACGAACCTCGTTCGTGAGACCGAGGTAGCAAGGAACAGAATATAGTTTTGCTGGTCAATTTACTTCATGGATTCTTCTAAGCACACAGATGCGAATGAAAAGCGTACATGTACAGAAAATTGAAATGGGGTAGGCGACTGAGTGAACCCAATGAGATGAAGCGTGACAAAGTATTTTTAGACAGACAAAATAAGCTAGACATGTGATAAGCGAATAAGCATGCACGCAGACTCAAGCGAAAACACTAAAGATGTGAGCGAATGATAGGCACGGTCGAAAGACGAGTGAATGATGACTCTGGAAAGATGGTAAATGCGCCTAACCGAAAGCAAAGATGAAAGCTCGATGTACTGCACAAAACTACATACACATCTCATTTTGACTTTGCTGGCTATCATTTTCTCACTTTTTAATGAGCTTGTTGCAAACACTCTTGCTTATGTTACACATTTCCACATTGAAACTTTCAATCGATATCCAACAATCCAAAGTTACTTTTTCCAAGTTATCACAGTTTGAGTGAATATATATCTACCCAACCCCAGTATGCATCAAATTCAAACACTCCAATAATTATTTATCCTGAGTATCTATTTACCACTACAGCTTACTGCATACACTTTTATCACTCGCTAGATAGCTAACACAGAATTACATTTCTCCTATCTGAAAAGGCCTCCTACATATCATTTTCAAAAATCCTCAACACTTTATTATTCTCTTTCTAAAAAATAGCTGATTTAGAAGGCTGTATACCAGGCGAACCTGTCACTCTCAAACAAGTGAGTTTTGAAAAGTGAACTTCAGAACACTAAAAACCTAGAGAACATTGTCAGTATGGAAAGAGATACCCTATTTTACAGAGATCATGCATATGATCGAGACACTGACACAACCATTGAATAGGTTCGTAATTTGTTCTCCTTAATATGATCATAATGTTTAACGTTAGATGAACAATGTAGCTACGCTCTACGACAGACCTTTTTGACACTTACCCGAAGCATACTAAAATCCCGATACGACAAGCCGTTCTAATTAAGGTGCGCGGTCAGACATGCATTTCTCAACAAGCATAATGAAAACTAGGCTTCCTTTTATGTGCTTCACGCGTGATGAGTTTACTTGCGGTTAACGCAGGAGAATGACTATATTTCGGACATCAATGACACGTGCAAACCAACACCATATTTTAATATATCGCTGAGAATTAACAATTTATCACATATGGTACCAGCGCATTGTTTGTTATAATAACTCTCTCTGATGTAACCCGACTTACAGGTATGCTTTTAATGACGCAGAGACCACAACTTATATTTAACATTCAGAAGCATGACGAGTTCACTGTGTAACTTAAAGGTACCAGTGAAAGTATTACCCAATTTATAACAATTATTCGGGATAACTTTCTGAGAATTTTTAGAAACAATGAAAACTACCAGATGTCTAGCGGAATCAAAAGTTTATTTTAGGCGCATACTTGGGTTTATATAGACAATATAAGAACCGTTATTTACACGCTATACATTTCAGGAATCACATAAATAAAGAGGAATAGAGTTGCACAAATAGAATCACTGAACAAACAAATTGTTGAAAGACATAGAGCAATCAAAATACAAACAAATACAAATTATCAATCAAATAAAATGAATAAAGTGAAAAGTTTACACAAACTACTAGTGGAAAAACCTCCAGATACCCCAAAATAACATCAGAGTAACAAAAACTAAAACCCAGAATAATATTTTATCCTGATGACTTCGCCGTTCAATAAGACGCATTACAGTGTTTGATAGACCGAGAGTGTTCAGAACATCCATGATACGACGCTGAGCCTTCTTTAGAGTCATCCTAAAATGTGTGAAATGTAAATTTGTAATTGAAGGTGAAGGTCAGTACAGGTGTGACGAAGATAAAAAACATACTTCATCAATTATCGTCTCATTACCGAGGCTTCTTATTCATTTTACAAATAAGTGTGCCAGTTTTTTAAAGAGACAATTAGAAAGACATCACCTATGACCTGTTTCAGTAAAAAGGTTCTTACTGACAACTATGAATACAAAAGTATCAGACGTGAACCCCAGATTTAAAGAGATTGACCCATTTATTCCACAAACTCGTGAATAATCTTAAAAAATTTTTGACCGAATTGTCAAGTCTGCTACTCGATGCAGTTAATATACTCAACAACCCTTGGCATTAGAACTAGTACAACTGCCCCTCAGTTCGCAAATCGAAATCCGGAATTAAACGAAAGAAATCTATATTCCAGTGAGTATCAAAATGTACAGAGAAACTTAATGTGTTTCTGTTTCTTCCTATAGTCAGTTACAAGGCAGAACTTTGTACTTACTTACGTACATCAGTTCGAGTCAACAGACAGACAGATACAACACAGAACTTCGTACGTAAGCACATCAGTTCAGGTTGCCATGCCCCATCAGAACAGAGACGCAGCTGTCAGTTCAAATCCAGGAGTGATAGCAATAATAGAAGTATTAGCAGTAATGGAAAAGATTAGGGAGCAAAGATATGATTCGAGAAGTATAATTCAGTAAGATAACTTTAGAAGGAGAAAAGTAGAGATTATGAGGAATGCAGAAGCTTACAATTTCATAGAACGCAAAGAGTGGATGCACCTACGCTATTGATAACGATTCTGAGCCATGTCAGTCAGGGTGTCTAACCATTGATGACTATCGTCTCGCGGACCACAACCAGGTAGCCTACATCTACCAACATGACTCAGTCCACTTGTCAGTGACTTCATGGATTTGTGCCATGTTTTGGTTTGGCCGCCACTAACTTTCTTCCAACCTACTCCTACACCACAAAACATAGCTCGTCGCGGCAGTCGGTGATTAGCCATACGAACACATGTCCCAACCACCTAAACTGATGACGTTTCACTACTTCATCTATTGATTTGCCGTCCCTACCTAGAACTCGTCTCTTAACGACAGCATTGCTTATACGGTTGTCCCACGATACACGAGCAATGCTTCGGAGATGTCGATGATCGAAGACTAGTAACCTATAAAAGTTCTCTACTCTTAACGGCCAAGTCTCGCATCCGTACAGTAGGACGGAGCGAACTGTAGCACAGTACACTCGTCATTTGGGCAGCAAACGGATATCTCGCCTGCACCATAAGTGACGCAGGTTGGAAAAAGCCAGTCGGGGGTTCTGTATCCGCGCTGAGATTTGGTCAGTCACCAGGTTATCAGCACTGATGAGACTCCCAAGATAAGTGAAGTGATCAACTCGCTCGACTACTTCACTCCATATCACTTGTTCAGGTGCCGATGCAACCCAATCTTGAAGCAACATTTTGCATTTCGAAGGTGAAAACCGCATCCTGAATATGCTTGCATTGTCGCTTAGGGTGGTCAGAAGACTCTGCATTTTGTCAGCGTCTTCACCAAGTAGGACTATGTCATCGAAATATTCTAAGTCGATAAGCGAGCCTCCTGGTAAACAGTCTACTCCTGAAAATTCAGACGACGATAAGGTTATTTCTAAGAGCATGTCTATGATAAAATTACACAAGAATGGAGAGTGTGGACAGCCATGACGGACACTACTTGAAGTGAAGAATTCCGGTGACAGTTCGCCATAAGCTCTCACTCGACCAGTGGTGTTCGAGTAGAGAGCTTGTATAAGGTTAATGTACTTCTCTGGTACACCTTTCAATGACAGACACTGCCACAGAACCTAACGATCCACTGAGTCAAATGCTGCTTTTAGGTCCAAGAAGACAACTATAATAGGACGCCTGATTGTGTGTCTGTGTTCCAGGACCTGTCGTAGAGTGGAAGTGTGGTCTATACATCCACGTCCAGATCGAAAAACCAGCCTGGTTTTCTCTAGTCTGCTCTTCACGAGCACTAGTTAGGTGTCTAAGGTTAATCGAGGCTAACAATTTAGAGATGGTGGAGAAAACTTGTAGCTCAGGTGGATGATTGTGGTGGTGTTTCGTTCTCTGAGCTGGTTGTTTTGTTTGTGGAGCTTTCATTCTTCTTCTGAACAATATCATCAGCACGAACTTCAGATAGAAGTGAGGCATTAGAATTTCTCCACGTTTGACATGTAGCTTGTTCAGCTTACCTCGATCTTGATTGGTTGTTGTTGACCTTTGACCTGTCGTTGTTTGCAACTATGTTTTGATTGCCTCCCTCTTTTGATCTGTTTCTTGATCCAGTGTCACCTATGATTTTCCTGATTGGTTGATAAATTGGGTCAAAGTCGATGCGTTTATTGATTGCTAATTGACCTGAGTGCCAAGCTTCTAAAATTTCTCTAGTGTTCTTTGTCCTCCCCCTACCCAGTATTTCCACGTTGTTCCAATCAAATGTGTCCATAATTGTCGGTGTGTATTGATATAAGCGAAGCGTTGTCGTGGCGTTTGACTGCTAATTGATGTTCGCGTAAACGGAGCTGAAGAGGTCGTCCACTTTGTCCTATGTAGTGTTTTTCACAGTTTGAGCAATTTATTTTGTAGATGATATTTGGTTTTTCTTCTAACAATTTAGAAAATATATTAGTCCAGTTTCCAGATTCTACCTAAGATCTCGGTCAACCTAGCTGCTAAAACTGGACCACCATCCTTAAATATCTCAGGGGTCAGTCTATCAGGAACCGCAGCTGGTCCTCGCTTCAGATTTCCTAACGCTTTCTCAACGTCATTAAGACTAGGGGGACTTACGTCGATTCGCCATTCAGGATGACTGGAGATCGTGGGTAACCGAAGAGTGGCTTGAGGCCAGTTGGAAAAGTTATCTACTGTTGCCGATCGCCGCTGCCTTTTCCATCGCTCTCGCTTTCGCCACCCACCACTGTTCACGGCCGTTACGTAGGCTTTTTATAAGTCTGCGCCTAAGTTGACTTCGTTCTTCATCATGTTCAGAGCCAGGTGGGATGATTTTTCGGGCATCCATCAGATCGGTGGATGCTACCGAGATTCACAGCTTCATTCTAGTCTTATGGTCAACCTTACTGGCAGAAATCACTGCTGTTTCCACAGCCTTTTTGATATGATTCCAACCTGACTCCGGATGGGATTCGCTTAAATGGTCGCCTAACTGTCTTTCTAGGTGTTCCTGAAATATATTCTTCGCCTTATTATCATTAAGTAAAACCCTAACAGGATTTCTTACGGTGTCTTTCCTACGTCCAGGAAGCCTCAAACAAATACGAGCTCGCACTAGGGCATGATCTGAATCTAGACATGTGCTCCAGAACGAGGGACAGTCCTCTATTGAACCCCTCCATCAGTGGCTGATGGCAATGTGATCTAGTTTGGTCCAACGTTGAGACGACTTTGGAGGTCACCAGATCAACCGAGGCTTTTCCTTATGCCTAAAGTTAGTTTTTGCTAAGAATAGGCGGTTGTCTGAGCATACTTGCAACAGACGGTCGCCGTTGTCTGTTCTCTGAGCCGCGACACCATGGGATTTGAATTGACAACTGCATCTCTGTGCTAATGTGGTTTGGTAACTTGAACTGATGTACGTACGTACAAAGTTTTACGTTGTGACTGACTGAGCGCTAGTTATGCCCTACGACTCAATACTATACCTACACCAGCTAGACTTCGAGAAGCAGCATCAGGGCTACCGGATACACGAAGAGTAAACTGGGATGCTTCTTTGTTTTGACAGGGCGAAAACAGATTATTGACTTTACTAGGATCCTGTAAGCGCGTTTCCGAGACACAGCATAAATCGATTGAGCGAGATTCTAATGTTTTAGTTAACGAAGCCTGCTGCCCTATTGGACACAATGTCCGTACATTAAATGCTCCAGCATGTAGTCTAGAACGAGGACTCAAGAGACCATGAATGACGTTTCGTGAGCTCGCATCGTTTGCATTGGCTGTGTGTGATAAAGCAATGTGAGAAGAGTTAGTCGTGGAGATAAGAGAGGTATTATGGGATGTAGGAAGGATTTGATTTTGACCGATTCGGTCTCGTGTGCTGTTATGGGTATGAGGGCGGTTGTCACTTCCCTGCTTCCCACACCGTGGAAGGTTGTTTGTTGAGGAACCTGAAAAGGAAGGTAGATTGGTGTTAGTCTGAACGACCTGGGAGCGTGACCGCAGAGTCCAAGGGACAACTGCTTCAGGCCGGTCGCGCAAGGCCTGTTTATGAAGGGTTTTTTGATTATTAGCTACGCTCTTGAAGGGCACCCTTGCCCAAGGAGACGGAAATCCGTGAGTTAGGGGAGGTGTGACATTTTTAGGGCCGACCTTTTCTAACCCTTCCTTCCTTGTGAGAAGGCAGCATCGCTGCAGATGCTGGTTGTCCGAGGGAAACACCTTACTGCTGTCACACCCCTCTGCAGTCAGCAGTACGACTTCGCCCTCAGACCTTGAGTAGCTGCTTTCGGTTTCATTGTCCTCCAGTCAACCTGCCTGGCATGGTAGAACCTTCAGGAACATATGTTTCGGCCAATATATCTCGTTTGAGTCATCACGATAGACAAGCCCGACCACCACGTCAAGGTAGCAGCTACAGTCGGGATTTCGAGTTGCCATACCACATTAGGACAGAGAGATGGAATTATCAATTCAAGTACCAAAATAGAGAACTATTAGCAGTAATAGATAAGATCATGGTTCCAGGAATAGATTCGAGAAACATAATTCATTGAAATAAATTTAAAAATGGGAAAGACATCACGAGGAAATCAGAAGATTAGATGTCAGAAAGAGCTCTTCGTATAGAGTAAAAACATCATTAGAATAATCTCATCCACGAATAACGATGTTACAACATCCTTCAACCAACTTATGCCGCACCATTCTGGAAATTCTATCAAGGTGTGGTTGGAGAGAAGTTCTTCGCCTTCGTGGGAGCCACCAAAACGCCACACTTTTTTGAAACTTTCGGTATATGATTTCCTTCTGATATCCGTGCTGAGATTTCGTCAGTCACCAGGTTATCAGCACTGATGAGACTCCCAAGATAAGTGAAGTGATCAACTCGCTCGACTACTTCACTCCATATCACTTGTTCAGGTGCCGATGCAACCCAATCTTGAAGCAACATTTTGCATTTCGAGGGTGAAAACCGCATCCTGAATATGCTTGCATTGTCGCTTAGGGTGGTCAGAAGACTCTGCATTTTGTCAGCGTCTTCACCAAGTAGGACTATGTCATCGGCATATTCTAAATTTAAGCATACCTAGAGACGGGCGTAACATATTTAGGTTAACAGTGATTATATTTGTTGTCTACGAAACAATTATTCCAATCACGTTTTTATTCGTTAGTCAGTCATCGGAGAGCAAATAATTCGACGGAAAATCTACCAGTAGTGACCGAAAAATATGATGAAAGATAAAAGTTAAGTGAGGTGATGTTAAATAGAATAAAACTCGATTTTAGATGTTTAGAATAGATCCAGAAAAGGATCTTGAATCCAAGATCAACTAGTATCCGGTAGATACATTTTCCTCATCTGGCGTTTCTTTCCCTGTCGTTAGCACTTAGAGCCTCAGGAGTTATTTAAATCACGGACATACGTCAAATTTGATAGGATAAGTGGACAGAATATTGAAAGATTGTATGGTATAACATGAGTCATAAAAGCTTACCCTTGTTCTTGTAGAGCGCTTAAACTAAATGATCCTGATAACAACATATCATCAATTTGTTTGCCAACATTAGATAATCTTGAATAGTGTTCTAAATCGGGATCCAATTTGACAACGGTTGAACCGGACATAACATTATTACGTAAAGATGCATTAGTAGAAAAATCATGAGATAGTAACTCTTCACGTTCAACCACTTGTCGCCATTTCTCATTCCTAAAAAAGTAAACATTGTAGTGAGGAAAGATTTAAAAATTAACGACTAACACTTACTACGAAGATAAATTTAAGGAACATTTGAAATATGATAAAAAGTCAAAGCTTGTTAAGGCATATGTTTAGTCGAAAACAACAACAATATATATATACTTACTTTCTTCGATCTATTACTCTTAAATTATTCTCATACTGTTTACATTCAAACCGCGTTTGATCCAAACTTAAACGTAATTGAGAACGACGTGAATATGGTTCGACAGTCGGAAGTAAAGTTGACAAACGATCACAATTTGAATTAATCTAAGCAATCGGTAATAACGAATAAAATACTGTTGAAATTTATCGACTAGTTTGAATACAATATCAAGAAATAATAGAAAAAGCACATTAGTATGAAATAAATTTAATAATACTGAGGTATTTGTGTTTGTAACACAGTCGATATCATATTCTATCAACTTCTAGTTTAGATTGTCAGATTGTCTTAATTTTAAGTTTTCATTGACTGCTTTCATCAACAGATATGTGACTTTTACGAGCTTAGTAAGTTGCTAGAGCGATAATTTTCTCGTTTGTTTTTAAATACAAACATGGCAATTTGCTTACTCCCCACAACATAGAAAGAACCTTCAGCTTAGACACAAACCTATTGGAGGTAGAACGTAACAGTTGATTTACATAAAAGTCGGAAATCATATACTAAAAATAAAAGCGTTTCGCTGAGCAAAAATGGGATGCTGTTATAATGCGCGGGTACCGAGATCTAAACGCGAGACTTGTTGATCCCCTAAAAGTAACTACTTGAGTGAGGTAGGAGCAGAAACAGTCTATTTAGTTGCCGAATCATACGCATAAATATACGCCCATATATATATATATATATTCCGCACCTTAGAGAATGAACCAATTTTTGAACAATGATATGCATTCGTCCTTTGGTACATTTCTGATGGCCACTCTTGATTGTAATTCAAATATTCAACTAAATTAGTGGTATTGGAATTCAGCGATGTTGAGTGTGAGACAGTTACCCACCATACACAATAGATGACAGTTGTGCAACACCGTTAAGCAATTAAAGTTAGATATGTACACCGGTGAATTTCAGCTTAGTAGTCTAAAGGTTAACCGTTTGCTCACGAGAAAGATTCTAGGTATGATTCTTGGATACGAATTCGTGGACGAGCACTGCTGAGTCCCATTACTAAAACGAGGGAGCTACCATGTACTTCCAAGTTTCTTAACTGTGATTTAGTTAAAATCGGTTCGTGGCTTTAACTTTGAGAATCAAAATATATAAATTTGAGTTTAAGGAGCTTTACAGCGGATAAGGAGAATGTTTGTGAAGCTGTATTCGCTATGCTGTTTGCTTCCATTCTGAAGATTTAAGCGTCCTGCTAAAAAAACACCAAGCACAAATCTGAAAGTGAGTTGTCGAAATTTCAACGGAAATCTTTGCAATTTATTAAGTAATTAGCACACCTTAACTAGGTTCGTATATTTGTTTTAAATCACACTCTAATCGTAAGGACTAGTGATACAATCCAGGTGCAGAAACAGAGGTAGGTGAAATGATGTATGAACCTGCAACTAAATGGCCTATAGTTGAACGTTACCACTACTCAAACAATTACAGAAATAACAATCAACAACGACAGTCTAGAATCAGGTTAGAGGACTGAGGTTAATCAAATAAATAAGCATACAAACAAAGAACAATCATTAACAACAATCGATCAAATTTACTGTCAACTGATCAACAATTTGTTGGTAGTCACTTATGAAGGAATTCTAATATTTCTCTTCTATGTAAATTTTTTATAGGTAATACCGTCCAGATAAACTAATGAGAACTTCACCAAAGCGTTGAAAAACATAGACACAACTGGAGAATGCATATTGGTCATTTAAGTTTAAATACGAATTAAAACTGAGTGCGAAAACGATGAATAGTTGTTAGTGTTAGTAATATTATTCAAGCTTTCATTTCATTGACCTTGCATTCCAATAAAAAAACACATATAGATAAGAAGCAAACGTATAGATTTAGAGTTCTCAGTAAACTAGCTAATGCCAAACCATTTATAATTCGCATCAAAGTATCCCCAAAAGACAAGAAAGTAATTTGACATTAAAGAATCTGAGATGTTATTTCAATGGATCGAATAATTAGTTGTCATCATGTACGAATATCATAAAAAGCACTTTTAAGAATTAGAAATGGATTAAACAAATTTAGTTCCAGTAGAAGACTGCTACTCAATAATATGAATTATAAGTGACCGAATGCAGGGTTATAAGGACTTGTGGAAAACGCCATCCACTGATCATCATTCTTAAATCTAATTGATTTGTGACCTTTATTCAACTTTATCATCAAAAATAATTGTAAGACAAATTGTCACCACAATAAATAAAGATCATATTACTGAAATACTACTCTGTTTAGAAAAAAAAAATCAACATACATTTTGTATATCTTGATTTAAACTATAATATAGTTTGTTTATTTCATCCAATTCCAAACTGGACTTTAAACCGTGTATCATACTTTCTAATTGACCAATACTTTCTGAGACTGTGTGAAGAAGACATCTTGTTTGAATGGAGAGTTTGTCATAATCCATAGTTGATCTTAAAATCGAAGAGTATTTTTTTAAAATGAAAGGTATGATGGGAAACAATAAAGAGTTGATCCAGAGACAATTATGGTAATTTAATTATTAGAAGTAAAGATTTAATAAGTATAAAGCTTATTAAAATAAGTTATGGAAAATAAATGCGTGTAAATGAATAATTATCCATAAGTTTATTGTTGAAAATATTTCGAATCTATTACATGGTATCACGGATAGATTAATGATAGAATGTTGTTGTACGAAATAAATTTATGTATCGATTGCAGAATGGCATATATGACTCGCTAATAAATGTAAACAAGTACAAAACTTATGCACAGCTTACACACAATTTTATCTCATCACCATCACCAATGGGAGATAACTAAAGTTATAATGTATATTTATGGAGACCATTTGATGATAATTAGTGGCCTTAAAGACCATAGGCTATAGTGCATAGTTAATAAGCTAACGTAACAGTTAAGTCATGCAGGCTATGATATTAACATGATGAACAGTAAGATTACAGATCATGTGTTCAGTGTACATGATAAATGGACAGCTTTTGCACTGACTTATTTCATTATTGATGGCGTAGTTATTGCTTTATTTTGTTTGAGAAAGAATTGACTATTACAATATTTTAATAAGATTTAGTTTAGGCAACCAACCAACATAATTAGCTTTCAGAATTAGAGTACATCTCCTACTCAAGTAACTAGTGATAGAGTCCATTCAATTTTAATTTACATATAGCATTTCGCAATGATTTATGTTGTCCAGTGTTGGTGACGTAACGATATTCGTAACCCAACTACTTTTAAACTAAGTAAGGACTAGATAAGAAAAATAATAATTCTTGTTCATCATATCAATTCGACTAATATGAAAACAATTGTATATTTATATGATAAATTATTCAAAGCAGATATTATCGATACATGCACCATTGTTCGTTCATTAAATCTATTCTGAAATCATTATAAAACTTGTAAATGATATTTATAATTAATAATAATTATAGAAATTTTGAAAAGATTCATATTTAGACAGAAAAGCATGTGACTTTTAAATATGTATACTTTCATTCACAAGTTCTATAATGATGAATACCAACTAGGGATAGTTCATTCTCACACTCAACTCACAACAATCAAGCACATGGAATGTAAAACAAAAAAAAACAGTAAGAAGTTCTGCTTAAGTTTTCTTTTTATTTATTGAAATACAGTTTAGGTCAATAATACTAAAAGGAATAAGAAATAGGTAGAATTTATTCCTCCTAAATTGTTTACAAGTTGACATATGCACTTATCGATCGACTTCTCCAAATACAATGTCCAAAGTACCTAAACACCATGACAAAATTATTAAATTAAAACACAAAGAATTAAATAAATAAATAAACATGATATAAGTAATGATTTTAATTTAATTACCAATGATATAACAAACATATCACCACAATATATAAACAGGCAGAATAGATATTACGTAAAGTCAGGATGTCTACATATTGAACACAACAGTGGGGTTTTTTAGATACCTGATCTGCATAAAAAATGAGAATAGATAAAAAGCAAGAACGGCTTCTTGTGCAAAACTTTCTGAAGTTCGTTAGAACGTTGAAAATTTACCTCCAAGCACAGTCTACTGTTCTTTTACTGAGAAGTAAGAGCGCTGCCATTTAGTTATATAGCTATCAGTAATGACACTGGGCAAATTTGTTTAGCAGTAGCGGTCTTGAAATATAGTCAACAGCAAGAGTATGGTCTATAAATGTTTGCAAATGAGTAACAAAGAACGTTGACACATTCTTAAAAGGGGGATTCAGTATTCTGTCAGTTCCGAAGCATTGACGTGACCGGAATAATTTCCAAACTTCAGTTTTAATAAGAATCGAAACACAATTCATCTTCAAACTTTCGGATATAGGAGGCGTGATATCAGATGATAGATATACAAACGACTTATTTAAGTCAGAAACATTCAGCTAAGCACTAATGCATCTCCTACACGTAAGCTTTTTAAATAAAAGATAGCAATTTCTGAGTGAACATCGAATTCAGACGTTGAATTTCCCTGTTCATTACACCATTTAGATTTCGAAATTTAGTGCAGTTTTCGCCTTGCATATTCGATATTTGACCTTCCGTATTCGTTTTAGTTGTGGGAATTTAAGTCAATCGAAACTTACAGGAACAGTTTCAGCAAGACAACAAGTGTCAAAGTAGAATTTAAGATAACCAGTGACAACATTAACGGTGTTTTCGAACGACTCATTAGTAAATAAACCACAGTTGGTCGTACGAAATGTTTTCAGATCTTACATACTTTTTTCCGAGTAATTTCTGCATTTAAAATTCTTTGACGGATGTAACAGTGTAATCTTTTCAAGACTGCCATATAATTAAGGCATAACAAGAATAATACAATGATCAGAACTAAGCTATGGAGAATGTTTACGAGTCTCATATATTCCCACATTACTAATGAAAATTAAATGTAAGTGCACATCCAAACGAGTGCTGATCTAACGAAAGTGAACCACTGAAGGCAGCAACGGTGAATTCAGTTAATCCATCAACAAAAACAGATAGTGCATATGAGGAGTCACGTAAATTCCGGTAACATGAACATAATTGCACGTGCCTAAGTGTTTTAGATGACATCGTGAGGTTAAACAATTAAGAACCTAAAACATTCAAAATTAGATTAACAGTAATCCACATTTTCAAAAGTAACTACACCACTACCACACTTTTTCTTACTGTTTGATAGATCCTGACGACAAATATTGAAATCATGCAGTGATACTAAATAATCATCGTGTAAATCACTCAACTAGGACTCATCAATTGTGATTACAACACAGTTATGAAACATGTTTAGACTTAGTAAGAATCGAAGATAGTCCATGTTATCAATCAGTTATCGGCAGTTAGAAGTTAACAGTTTAGGAATCGATATTTGACTAATATTCATTCTTTTCAATGCATATTGTCAGTCGTCGCAATATCTCTGATCTGTAACTTTTTGTATCTTGTAAGGCAACAGGTCGCTTATTTTTTATATACACACTTGGATAAGTTATGCGATTAATAGACATAATCGGTGTTAAAACAAACGTAAAAAATAATTTGCTGAAACAAGTAGATGGTAGGTAGCCCGAATATTCAAACAGGCCGCCATGAAGTATAAATTGTTGTCATATGCTGCACCTTTCTCAAATTATCGGTAATTTATTACGTACCGACTTTTAAGTTCTCTTCCATCATAGCGTAGTTATGCTTTAGTAATTTCTTAATTATGCAGACGTATGGTCAAGATTTCACTCCATATTACTATATGGGTTTTTAATTGTGACTAAATAAACAATTATAGGGCCTAGCTTCTGACTTCTGTCTTAGACTCAAGAAGGGAAATGATAAAAGGTTTAAACATGGTTTGCATCGGCTCAAGGTTAGTGGTGCAGGTCAGAAGTGTAAATAGTCAAATCTAAGAAGCTAATCTATGAATGGAATAGACGCGAGATAAAGAAAACTATGGTCAGGATTCTAACTAGTGAATTTAATACATGATACCGGTGGGCGATCTCAAATCCCAATTATTGTTATGATTATCATTAGTATAATAGTTTATAGAATGTAAGCTAATCACAAATTGTCTAAAGTTTGAACAAGATGAGATACCTACAGTGAATAGTGAAATATCAGGATTTGTTTCCTAAATTAATTGGTTGTCTTATTTTGTGTTTTATTAACTGTCACATACATTCTCTTAAGAAGAAAAAATGATAACTTGATTTAGTATTATTTGACTGAAATGAGCAACTCTAACATTGATCGGTTCACTTCAACAAGGTAATCAAAATAATTAAATTAAAAAAATAAGCAGTATTTAAATTGTTTTATAAATCAGAAATGTATAGAGTCTAAATTTAACTCATTTGTTTAGACATTTCTACACTTCAATATCATTAATGATAGTTTCTTAAAAGCATTGTTTGTATTCAATTCTGTAGATAAAACTCTGATATGATTCAGCAGTTGAAGTATTGTTTTTTTTCAAAAAAGAACTTTTTGATCAGTGATAATCGCTAATTAGTATCGACAAAATGAATTATTAAAAGTAATGACAACTACTTGATGATATGAAACAGTTGGAATAATTCGATGTTAAAGCACGATTTTCCGAAACTAAAAGAGGATAGGAGTCGATTTAACAGTTATCTAACAGATATAAATTATGATCAGTGTTGACATTAGTGGAATTTTTGATCAGATCTTTTTTTTCGAAAATAAATATTAAGACGAGTAGAAATGTAGCAAGGGCTTCACTTAAGTATACCTATCATTCATCTTGACCAATATTTCTAAATATTAAAATAGACATTTTGTTTTCTTTCATTCATTTATCACTTCACTCATAGTTCACATGATATAATTTTTTTAGTGCATATCCTATGCATATACAGTTCTGATTTTCCTAAATGTCTGCCAAATACTTCAGTAATGCTATGAGTATTTAAGCTCTCTGTCTATGATAGGTTTTTGTTTACTTTGTAAATGACTTTGAATCTCAATTTCTTTCTGGATAAAATGACTTGCGTATCGAAAATAGATACTTACCGAGATGTATACTGACATTAATGTAAAGCTTAACTCTCTAAAAATATCAATAATCTCTGTATCAAAGAAAGTGTTTTACATGAACATTGATCCCCAAAGGTGAAAAAAGACGTAAATATCTTCAAAAAATATTTTTAACTTCTTCAAAATCGCAATCTTTGCAATAACCCCAAGGTGATTATTCACCAGTAGACCAACGTTTAACAACAATGAAAAGTACAACCTTTTGCACCTCATCACTTTTATATGCATTTATAAATTCAACTGTTTCCGTGACGCTATATATAAGTCATTCGATGAGAGTTCTATCGAAGAGGAGTGAAGAACATGATTCAGGACGATTAAAAAGAAGAGAAAATGAATCCATTATGAACATGGATGACTCAATCAAAACAAAACATCCATAAAAATTATTAACAATATCAAATTCAAACACAGTGAATAATTACCTATAACTGCCACTACATCGGGTAACAAAAAACCCCGACAAAGTTTATCTATTGCTGCTAAGTGAGCAAAACCTGGAGCTTTAATTTTACATCTATATGGTTTGTTTGTACCGTCGGAGACTAGATAAACTCCAAATTCACCTTTAGGAGCTTCAACAGCAGTATATGTCGACCCAGGTGGTACCTTGATAGAAGTTAAGAAACACTATTGATTAAACTTCGAAAACAAAATGAGGATTTATAATAAAAAGAATTTAATTAGTCAAGAAAAATACCTACAAAACAAGTTGTTTTAAGACCGAGTCAAAAACTATGATCGATCTCCATTTCAACTGGAATTCCGCCCTTACTAGTGATTAACATCTAGATCAAAATCCAGGGGTTTTAGTAAAAAGCCATGACAAACGGAGTTCATTTGTGTCGGGTGTGAGACAGTTATACAGTCGTACAACTAACTAAACTAACTAACAGAAAGTAAGCATATACGCCGTTGGATTCCAGTTTATTGGCTAAGAGATGAAGCGCTAGCATATGAAACTGAAAGTCCTACGGGTTCAATTCTTAGTGAGGTCGCGGATGTTCGCTGTTGAGAATCTCCATACTAGAACGAGACAGCCGTTTAGTCCTTTCTGGTCTTAAACAGTGATTTAAACTATGAAAATCTAAATAAGACCCATACAAACACAAATAAAACTAAAAAAAATGAAAAACACACCGAGTAACCTTCCGAAAATAATTTGAAATGATGAATGAGAGCTTCCATCGAATCTTTCATTTCAGCACGTTTAGGTGGACAAATTTTGGCGTCATCCACTTTGATTTCACCTTTGGGCATTTTATTAAGACATTGTTCTATAATACGCAAAGATTGACGCATTTCTTCCATACGTATTAGAAATCTTAATTGTTAAATAAGAAAACATTAGTAATTAATTAGATTAGATTATTTCGAAAGAAAACCCACAAACAAAAATTATCGGCTGGTGAAATGAACACTTCTTGTGCCTAGTCTATGACTGACATAAATATAATAAAACAATTAACAGTTAAGAGTAGCAACTGCAATGAACCTAACAAAGAGAAAAAGTTAGAGTTAAGTTTTTAAGTCATAGAGCACTTCAAGACCTTCTATAAATGATATGCTGGTTTACGATGTCACAATTTCACAGTTGTACACTGGGAAAGGAAATAATAACAGTAATATCCAATGGTTCAGTAAACTTAGACATGAAGAATTTAGTTTTAAAGGTACATATGAGATCGGAAAACAAAAAGTATGGAATGAATCTAAAACAATCAAAATTTATGCAAAAAATATATATGATGATAAATACAATGTAAGCATAACAAAACTAAAGATGCTAAAAGGTATAATTTAAATAAAAATATAACTACAGTAGATTTCACATCACGTGAACTTAAATTCTGCTGGTCATGGAGAGTGAAAAAGAAATTTACTGGGTATCTTTATTACGAACTATTGTGGTTTATGGGCATGTTATGCCCATTTGTTTGACCTCAGGGTTGTATGTCTAACACAATAGGTCTCTTGGCAGCTAACACCAATTTAATCAATTATAATCTCGCGATAGGTAGATTTTAGCCCCAGGGTTAGACAGTGTGATATGACTGAATCAAAACTACATGACAATAATGATACTTAAACAGAAAATAACAACGAATGTTTTACCGATGTTTTCAAGAGAAGGGTCCTATAGCATTTCTGAGGATGCTATGATGCGCAAAATAAGCTTAGCAGTCAAGTCATAATTCGCCGATACGTCAGTGACCTACAAAGCAGATAATTACGAATGGCCGTCTGAGAAAGACACCTTACTAAACATTCTGGTTTTCTATATCCTAGTTTAAAAACCAGTTTGTATGAGGCAAATTGTTTTCTGCTAACTCAATTACTAAATAAGCGAAAAATTTCTCTAATAATGAACTCAATAATATGTTGAACTAATTCAAAATTTGTCAGATAAATTTATACATTACCAGTAATAATTAACTAACCGATCGTAGCAGTCACCCTGAACACCAACTGGTACATCGAAATCTATGTCTGCGTAAGCATCGTAAGGTTGTGTTTTACGCAAATCCCATTTAATTCCACTCCCACGAAGCATAACCCCAGAGAATCCCAAATCTAAAGCATCTTCAGCACTAACAACACCAACATCTTTGGTACGAGTAATCCAAATGGGATTTTCATACAATAAATCACTTATCTAATCAATAAAATTAAATAAAACCAATAATGGTGAGAAACAATTTATAGCTCAAGTGGATACTTTTGATAGTGTTGCATTCTGTAGTTCGGATGGTTTTATTCTGGAGCCTATTACATAAAGTCGGCACACATGATGTAGTGCAGAACGACAATGAAAGCTCTACAATTAAGCTATCTAGCTCAAAGAATGCGAAACCACCAGAATAAACCAATCAATTCTGGTAATAGCTTAAATATAATTATTAATAAAGAAAAGACGTCAAAAAAACTCCTAGTATACATTGAATCTATACGATAGTCTTTTCTTTATTTTTCAATTCTATTCAAGATATGCAGGGAATAAGACTGAATAGTACAACAAAAACAAATTACTTATAAACTAGCCTCATAAGGAAATAGTCGATTTTTTGTCAATCTTAGGAGCTCTCCTCTAAATCTAAAGTAGCAATTATTTACTACACATGTTTTATTCCATGTACATCAAAATTTACATCAACAAACTAATAAAATCACTGTGAATTATTTACTACATCGAGTACTCTTGTATTCGAGAAAAACTTGAAGAATGAAGTTATTAAATACTAGAAATAGAAATTTTAACATAATTTGCGCTGATTATATAATCATTATACCTGGTAATATTCAGTTTTTTTTCTACGATCGATGATAACAGGGGCAAGCGAAAGTGTATTTATACAGTTTTTAATAATTTTCAAGACTAACAATTCACGGCGCCTAATTCAGTGGCTCGGTCTTCTAACAATTAAAAGCAGCGATTACTACCGGTTGATCGGGATCGAAACATCGCTAAACATCCTATTTCTAAACAATATTCACACGAAAAAGAAACTTCTTACAACAATTAAGTTCGAATAGTATTCTGTAAAATCAACTTTTTTTTACTTGATTAACACTGTATTAAGTCAGTGAATATGTAAGAACTTCGAACAACTATTGATGAATAGATACTACTTACAAGAAAATTTTATCGGATAGTGGACATAACTTGTTAATCAGAATGAAACAGAGAAGCATCTTTGGAGTCAATAAAAAACAGCGTTAAAACCACTGATATCATACAAATGAAATGTATAGGTTCATCAAGTAATGGGGTTACTGAACTTAAATAGAAACTGAAAGTTCTAGGAAACTAATGCTATAAAAGATTATCTTTTCACGAGATGTTTTGAAAATAATATTTTTATCGGTGGACGAACCTACACAGACATAAGCTCTCAAAACCCAAGGGATATTAGCCTGAAAAAGGTTACATTAAATATTTCTGTAAAAAATTCCATGAGTAAAGTTTAATTATAAGCTTGAAACCCTTATTTGCACCTGCCGGCAAATGTTCTAGGACAGCCAAGGGAAGAGAGACTACTCCCCCTATCCAAACGCTCTCATTTGACAATGCGCATATAGCCACTGCCAACGAAGTCTTACTCATTGTCTTCTCGCAGCGAGGGTATTGTCGTCCAAATCTAGAGGACGAAAAGCGAGTGTCCGGCTCATAAACTCGGGTTGATAGCCATAAATATCCATCTAGAGGAAAACTCCGATCGCAAACCAATGATGCACATAGGTTTCGGAATGCTGACGGAACAAGTGGCGTACCATGAGAATGCATCTCATAATATTGTTCCACTTCTTAAGGATATGGCCTCTAAATAAAACCACCCACCTCGGTTTGGGCGTCCGAGTAATGCCCCACTCCATTCACGAATTCGGTAATTTGTATGGTGCATAAATATTTAAGTCTCCCTTTGTATCAATGTTTATGTGTTTGAATAAAATAAATAAACATTAGTCATAGGTGCCTAACCTTAGAATAGACAAGGTAAAACCATCCTTGATGAATGCAATATTTATTCATGAATAACATTTACCACGTAGTTTAGAAGTAAAATTCTCTACTCTTAACAAGTGAAAAGAAAACTAACAGCATACCAGTGAATGGTATATAAAATAAAGAGGAAACATAACTTACTTCATCTAACCGCTGTGGAAACTTTTGTATGAAATTGTGTATATCATCCATTAGTCCAAGAGGCATATCTAAAGCAACACCTCCTGGACGAATATAAGCAGCGTGCATACGAGCACCAGACACACGTTCATAGAACTCATACATTTTCTCTCGTTCCTCAAACAACCAAAAGATTGGAGTTATGCCTCCAATATCCAAAACAGTAGAACCAACAGCTAGACAGTGATTCAGTATTCTAGTTATTTCAGCATAAAGAGCTAAATTAAACAGAGTAAATTTGTGATTTACACAATCTGTTTCACTTTTTTATATTAAGAATAGTGAATAGATCGTTGTAAATAAGTTAAAAATAACAAACAATAAACTTAGAGGGTATTGCATAATAGAGCATGAAGAGTAAACGAAACCGATATGGTTGGAATTAGACCTACAAGCCTATACATGTTTATTAATAAGACAGATAGAGTAAATGAACAAACTAGAAGAGAGTATGCGACAGCTAACAGTATATTACAGTCTTAATCACTACAGTTCGAAGTAATACACACGTCATTTTGAAAAATTACTGCAAGCCAGTCAGTCAGCTACAACGTAGAACTTGGTACGTACGTACATCAAATTAGGTTGCCATACCACATTAGCACAGAGATGCAATTTTTCACATTAGCAGAGAGAAAAAATTGTTAGGCCAAATAAAAGATGAACAAAGGTCGCTGCAGCATTAGCGGTAATGAAAAGGATTACGGGGTTCGAAGATATGAATCGAGAAGTTATGAAGCAGTGAAATAATTCAATTTAAAAAAGGGAAAGTCATGACGAATTTAGAATCTTAGTATTTGGAGGGGGACAAAGGATGGATGCATCAGCGTCACCGCAAACGTTTTTGAGCCATGTCATTCAAGGTGTCTAACCATCGGTTACTATTGTCTTGCAGACCCCAACCAGGCAGTCTACACGTATATATATGATCCAGAATGGTTTTCAATGACTTCAAGGGCTGATACCATAATTTGGTTTGGCAGTCCCTAGCTTTTTTCCAGCCTACTCCTAAATCAGACAGCATCATTTGTTGAAGTATTCAATGATTGAGCATATGTGAGATTTCTCATGGCACGAATTTCCCTCACCGGAAATATATACAAAAAGTATAACCATAATTACATGAAATGAGTAAAATGACATAATTCGCTTTCTTTCAAGAATAAGAAAAGGGATACATGAACAAGTGGCAAAATCGGGAGATTATTCACATAATTATGTGGCTTTTACAAGCTACTCAAAATAAGCATTTATACACGCAATAACTGATTCAAATACCGAACTTTGATCTAGAAGTATGATGGTTTGAGTCTGCGCATCTCTTAACATGTAACTAAGCATTTATTATGAAAACTGATCAAATTCAGGTGTTTTTAAACAATGGAATCAATTTTTAGGAACAATCATAGTTCATAATAGTACCGGAATGATTCTAGATACTAATTTGGATGCACTTAATACAATGGAAACTTCATATTGATTCACCAAAGGTTATTTTCGTAGGCATATATATATATATATATATATATATATATATATATTCAACTAACTTCGTATATACTTTGCACGGGGAGGTACTTCAATATTGAGTAGCTTCTCCACAGCCAACGAATAACACTGTTCGTTACACATCATTGAAGCATAATCAAGTCGGTCAAAATAAGGCAAAGCCTGAACGAGAAAATAGAAACAGTGGCTGCATTTTAACAAATTTCGACATAATAAGTAGGACTGTGCTATTTGCCATAATACTAATAAGTGCTTCAAGCTTTGGATACAATTCACGTTCTACAAAAAATACCACTGGAATTTTCCTAGATTCTGTATTAATACTACTATTACTATCATCAATAATATTCATATGCCTATTTAGTATGGCTTCCTAGTAAATATGAAGTTTTAGCATCTACGCTTAAATAAATGCAAGTAAACACCTCAAGGCTCGGTATGTTTTACTGCATTTTGGCTCTTAAGAACCATTGAGACTTTATTGTTTCGAAATATGATACGTATATAGTACTTACTACAACTCGTAAGAAAAGATCTCCCTATAAAAACGTTAACTAGGGAAAACAAACCCAACCAACTAAACTCTGTACTTAGATTCGAAGGGTCTTCATGCAGAAGGAATATGACCCCTCATGATGAAAGCCGACATAGTTAGGTAGCTGAGGGGTAGATGTTCCTCATGACAACCAAAATTACAATTAATACAAGTAAATGGATTATCCGGATAGGGAAGGACATTGGAAGGGTCATTTAAGTAGTTGCGGAAGTGAGGGAATACAATCTGGCGGTGCTTGAAATAGGTGAAACTCACTGGACACAAGAGGAACAGAAAAGACTAACTTTAGGAGAGTTTTTATTGTAGGTTGGTCACGAATAAAGTGCCCTCCATTACATCTACTAAAAAGTTGCAGTAATGCTGTCCAAATAGGCACAAAAAGTACTCATGGGATCCGTTTTGGCAATGTGAAATCGCCAAATCCAAATTGAGATGAAATTCAGTATCTAAGGAAAGTTTTCGTTACATTAATTTATTTAGTGTGAACCCTGTTCATGATCTTGAAATGTATTTTGAACTACGGTTTGTGCTCATTGATAACTACTCAGTCCACAACCTATAATCATCATAATCAAGTTCTATTGAGACTAAACCAATAAAGCTGCTCTAACGCAACTGGACTTCTTACTGTAGTTAGCAAGAAACTTAGAAAGAGGTAAGCAATAATTTCGTTCACTGTATTGAAGTTAGAGTTGCGGAACAGTAGTGAGAAGCCCATAGCCCCAAGATTATCACAGTAAAAAAGAAAAAATTACTCTGATTGTTATCTAATGTAAGAAAAACCAAAAATGATAGCATCGGTGATAAAGACAAGTTCTATGGGAGACTGCAATTCATCCTAGCACAAGGCCAAGGAAAACGACTGAATGTTCTGATGGAGCACTTGGATGCTAAGGTCGGGATGAACAACACTCGGTATGAAGGCATCGCGGAACAACGTGGACTGAGAGAAGGGACCGAGAAGGGTGAGAAACTGGTGAGAAATAGAAACATTTTTTCCCGCAAATACATTCACAAAGCTACATGAGTCTAACCAGATAATATATAAAATCAGATCGACCATAAATACATGGATAAGATAATCAGAAGGTTCACAGAAGAGGTAATAACAAAGACGGAAGTTGATAAAGCTTCAGATCACTACCTGATGGTGGACAAGCTAAAGCTAAAGCCAATGAAGTGCTACACAACTGGACAAGCAGCACTATAGAAGTTTAATGAAACCTTTCTCCAACATGCTAACAAGCTCAGTGAGCTCAAGATCACTCTCAGCAATAAGTTGCAAGCCTCACATGATCTACTAGAAGTAGCGGATACCAAAGAGATGCTTGGACCCAAGAGGCATTAGCATAAGCAGTGAATTTTTGTATACAGACTTGGAAAGATCCAAGAAAGGAAAGACAAGAAGCAGTCGACAGCAGCCAAAAACAATGGCACAGAAAGTCAAAGTACAGGTTAAATATACAAAACCAAACAAATGAGTAAAGAAGAGCATTCAGGTCGACTATCGTAAATAAGTGAAAGACCTTACAAATATACCAAAACAATTTGGAAGAGAAGGAAATATAAAGAAACTACATGATAAGACTATGAAGTAAGTATGGACAGTAAACAAGAGCTACCAGTCAGAAATAAATCAATGATAATAGTTGGTGAGGGTCGATATGAGTGGGACGGGTAAGTAGATCACTTGAATAAAATAGTCTCTCTGAAGCCATAAGACATCCGAGCAGCACACACAGACTTCCTTATATATGTTGCACCACCAACAATAAAAGAAATTGGCAAGGCCATTATACAAATCAAGAATGCCAAAGCAGCAAGATCAGACAATATACCAGTTAAAGCACTGGAGTCAATCAGGCTATAGCGAAGATTTCCTACACTTTCTTCAAGAAGATTTGGAAGGAAAAACAAACTGGAAACAAAAAGATACCGAAAAAAGATTTTAGTAAGTGCGACAACTACAGAAGAACCACACTATTATCAGTAACATACAAAGCTTTCAACAGTGGCTGAACCGAATGAGGGATTACGTAGATTAACAAACTAGCTTTCATAAGAATCGATCATATAATGACCCACGTGCGACTATGAAGACGACTGTTGAACAATTAATCAAATGGAACCCATAACTATGCATCAACTTCCTTTATTATGAGAAACTATTCGACAGTGTGAATAGGAAAACCTTGTAGAATCTTTTTCGACACCATAGAGTGCCTGAGATCTTTACAATCATGCGGGGATCCCACAAACGACTGAAGTACAAAATCCTTTATAGACGGCATCGCATAGATGAGCTGCAAGTGAAGACTGTTGTAAAGCGAAGCTATCTACTGCCTTCCTCTCATAATTTGCTAGTTGTTGGCTGGATGATGAGGACATTGTCAGCTCAGGAAAAACATGGAGCATAATGAATACCTAGGACACGGACAAATGATTTGAACTTCGCAGAATATAGCCCTTGTTTTCCATACACAGCAACAAATACAGACGAAGACAGACAACGTAGCAACAACTGCTATAGAGACTGCTAAAGAAAGAGACATTTGCAAGAGCAAAAGTAAGATTCTAAAGCACAACATAGCTAACCAAGTTGCACTTGGCGGCGAAGCTGTGGAATAGGTGGAAATCTTTTCGTATCTGGACTGTATCGTCGATAAACAAGGAAGATCTGGTACAGATATAAAGGCAGAAATTTCCAAACCAAATCAAAATCCCTACAATCGGGAAATATCTAGGATTCAAAACAACTGTCAGCTATAACTAAAGCCAGAATTTTTAGCACTAATGCTGAAACAGTTACACTGTATGTACGCAGCTGAAACTTAGAGAACTACCACCACATGGTGCCGGGGATCGGAAGGAACCATCAAGGCCATAAAGAGAACTCGACAACTAGGAAACAAACCAGAAAAGAGTTGCTTAAGGATCCCTGATTGGTGGTCTATACCTCAAGAAAGATAGTAAGCCTAAGCTAAGAGCTAGAAATGAACAAAACGGACAATTATATTCATATACTTACTTGGGTGTATGTTTTGTATTCGATTAACTTTTCTGTGCCACGATGTAGTAGACCGATATGTGGATCAAGACGAATAATTTTCTAAAATAAAAATGAACCACCATGATTCACGATCCATCAGATAAAACCCAAGGATCAAATGATGAAATAATAGTTATTTTTTATTACCGATCTGATAACCAGGAAATGGACAAAAATGATCATTGGTGTGGTTAGCACTAGGCATATATCCGCTTCAAATTCATGTCAGTTGTTCAAACAAGTATAAAACAGTATTACCGCTAATACTGCTACTATATCTATTACCCTGGGATTTGACTTAACAACTTCATCTCTCAGTGCTAATGTGTTACGGAAACCTGAACTGATGCATTTACAAATCAAGTTCTACATTGGAAATGACTGACTTAAAACAGATAGAAAGTAACCAGACTCTAAACGAAAGCTAAAGACGTCTGCTATGATCACATCTGAAGACAATGACCACCAAAAAGCTAAATTTCAAAAATACTGTTAATAGGATTTAACACTTCAATAATTCATAGTTATAATTTGAAGGTTAAGGACTTCTGAGATTATTAACTGTCATTTGGAAACACGCGTATTTTCTATTTTCAATAGTGTTATAAATAACTTAGTTTTGAGCCAAAGACCATTTATTTCCAATACAGCCATCAAAACATTATCTGTAGAATGGACTTTCGTTAATCGGATAGGGAAGATCAGTCAGTCAGTCAGTTACAACGTAGAACTTCGTACGTACATACATAAGTTCAGGTTGCCATACTATATTGGCACAGAGACGCAATTGTCAGTTCAAATCCCATAGTGTTAGAGATAGTAGAAGTATTACTGGTAGTGGAGAAGATAAGGTTTCGAAGAAATTACTCAAGTATAATTCAGTGAAATTTAGAAAGAAAGAGACAAAGGCGATGAGGAACTCAGAAGATTAGAACTTCAGAGAACAAAAAGAGTGGATGAGCCTGTGCCATTGTAAACGATTTCGAGCTATGTAGGTCTCTAACAATCGGTTACTATCACCTAGCGGACCCCGACCAGATAGTTTACACTTACCGACATGACTGAGTCCAGTTGTCAGTGACTTCATGGATTTGGACGATGATAGAAGTATTCTTGTTCGTTGTATTAAATTTGAAATTGAGGAATATTAACTCAGTGCGCAAACTTACCGGTGTCCTTAAATACTTTAAGAGATAACTGCTTCATTGATAGTCGAAGTTATCGAAAGTTACGACTGTATCTGTGGATATTTTGTTTTCACGGGCGCATATTCCAGATAAAATGATTGCAAATCTGTAAAAAGTTGAGCACAGCTCACTCAATACACTCCGTACACTGTTAAGAGGAAATAGTTGACGTGTTTACTTAATGAGTCGTAGTAAACGTAGGACTTGATATGAATATATACCAACCTAGATTCATATCAACTGCTGGGGTCCTACACCACTTGAAGGACCTCAATGAGATAACTTCAAGCAGCTAATTACAAATTTTACAAGATGTTCAGGTATAATTGTTAATAACTAATTGCAAGCTATATAAACCTAGATAAACGGCATCTGACTGTCAGTCGGATTCCAGTACATAAACTTTATTTATTGGGTTAATCACACTTATTTTCATGACAGCAAATCAAACTTTAAAACTATAAAGACGCCATTAGTGAGACATCTAAATTTACTAACAATTTGTTTCAGTGCATAAGAAAAATATTGTTTATCGCTGTACATTATTTTTTATCATTAATCAAGCTTCTGCAGTCAAGATAAAAAACCATTTAGACCATGCTCTAGTAAGAGCGTGTATCTGTTTGAGGCTTACTCGAATTAGGAAAGATATCGAAAGGAAACCTCCTCCGGTTCTACTTAATGATAATAAAGATAAGAATGTAATTTCTGGAACAATTAGAAAAACAGTTAGGCAGCCATGCAGTAAGTAATGCCCATCACCAGACAACTTGGAATGATATCCAAAAAGCTGTGGAAACAGAAGTGATATCTGCTATGAAGGTAAACCATAAGGATTTCAGTAGAATCTACCGAACTGATGGATGCTGGAAAAATAATTCCGTCTGGTTCTGAACATGACGATGAGCGAAGTCAGCCTAGGCACAGGCTGTTAAAAAGACTACTCAATGATCGCCAACAGTGGTGGGTAGCGAAAGCGAGGGAGATGGAAAAGGCAGTGGCGATAGGAAACAGTATACAACTATTCATACTTATCAAGGAGACCGGTAATAGGAATCCGAGTGTAATTGAGACTATTTCGGAAAATGATGGACCAGTTATACACTTTCAATCCAGGAGATTTGATTGATGGGGGGCGGAACACTTCAAGGATCGGTTCAATTGACCTTCAGCAACACTTCGGTTGCCCACGATCTCCAGTTGACCTGAATTGCAAATCGATGTAATTCCTCCGAATCTTTATGAAGTTGAGAAAGCTATAGGAAATCTGAAGTGAGGGAGATCAGCGGGTCCTGATAAATTGACCCCTAAAATTTTTTATGGATGGTGGCCCAGTTTAAGCAGTTAGATTGACTGAGATATTAGGTAGAATCTAGGAACTGGGCGTAATCCCATCTGAATTGTCTCAATCCCTTATTGTCTCAATTCATAAAAAACGACAAATATCCTCATGTAGCAATCACAGAGGAATCAATTTAACTAATATAGTATCTAAATTGTTAGCCTCGATTATCCTTAGACGCCTAAGTAGAGCTCGTGATGAGCAGACTAGAGAGAGCCAGGCTGGTTTCCGACCTGGACGAGGATGTACAGACCACATATTCACACTACGCCAGGTCCTAGAACATATCCGTTTAGGCATCCCACAACAGTAGTATTTCTCGACGGCATTTGACTCTATTGATCGTGAGGTTCTGTGGCAGTGTCTGTCACTGAAAGGTGTTCCAAAGAAGTACATTAATCTTATACAGGCTATCTGCTTGAACACAACTGGCCGAATGAGCGTTTATGGCGAACTGTCATCAGAATTCATTACTTTAAGTGGTGTTAGTCTTCTTACTTCTTGAATAATATCTTTGAACTCTAATTTATTGGATTACTGCTAATACTTTTACTACCTTTACTACTATGGGATTTGAAGTGAAAATTGCATCTCTGTGCTAATGTGGTATGGTAATCTGGAATGGTGTACGAAGTTCCACGTTGTTGACTGACTCAGTCAATCTTACTTCTAAAACTGGACCGCTATCCTTAAAAACCTTAGGGTTGAGCCCGTTATGCCCTGCTGCTTTCGCCCGCTCCAGATTTCCTATAGCATTTTCAACTTCATTCAGAGTCGGAGGACTTACACCGATTTGCCATTCAGGTTGACTGGCGATCGTGGGCTGAAGGTCAACTGAACTGATCCCTAGGGTTCTGCTCATCGATACAGTCTCCTGGATTGACAGTGTATAATTAACGCATTCTTTTCCGAGATAGCCTCAATAACGGTCGGACTCCTATCACCAATGATTTGATAAGTCTGAACAGTTGTCTACTGTTAAAGAAAAAGGGAAATATGAACCAAAAGGATGGGTCGACACTGGTGATTCCATATCTCATAGGAACTTCAGTAGAAACTAGAAGGATACTTTCGATTGAAGAAAATACTCTAAACTCTGTATAAGTAGGGGTCACTTTACAGTTGCTAAAAAGTTCCACTGGTAGGTGTAGAGGAGAATGAATGGATTTCGAATAAGGATAACATATGCACCAGAAAGGTGAACTCCTGTTACGGGTGATTATAGGTTTTAGAGATGAGACATACGTTTCTGACATCAGTAAAATTTTCTAAAAAGCAAACGAAGGAATGCAATTAAAAATCCTATATATATCAAGCACAATTGCGAACCCATTTAACTAATTATTTGTGTACAGTGAAAATGCATTAGATAATCCATCCTTACAGATTATTTACCGAAAACACATTTTTTTATCAAGGTGAGTTCTTGAGGCTATTTTCAACGAAACAATCACGAGCAAAGATTACGGTGAATTTTTCACTCAAATTTCTGAACATTTTATTTAAATTCGTCAAGAACAAGGCTCAGAAGCATGTCGTTTTACGAAGTCGAAAATTAAGAATCAGAACATATTTTTCAGAACAGTCATATTTAGGGAAAAACTTTAGAATAAGTAATCTCCCTTACCTCCCCATCAAGCTCCATAATTAATCTCAAAACACCATGGGCAGCGGGATGTTGCGGACCAAAATTTAAGTGGACAGATTGAACCTCCTGATGCTTCACGTTGAAAAAATCAACTAGACGCTATTAATACAAACGGTAACCAACTTGGTTGTACGGATGTGGTAGCCTTGATGGCTTCGGGGTTGTATAATGAGTCCCTAAGTTCATCCATAAACTTTTTGTCAGGAACCCAACGAGAAGCACATCTTTTAGGTTCCTTGTAGTTTTTTAACAATTTGCTGAAAGGCAGAGAGTTCCTACATGATGAGCTAAGCAATATGCGACCGAAAGTCAACATCACAGTAACACCATTAGCAAATTATCCGCTTCCTAAAGAAATTCTCCAACTATCCAATATCCAATGTCTTTTTGACAAGCTAGTATGAACCAATTGATTTCCTTGCGCACGATTCTTGTTCTTTCAGTACGGTTCCAGGTGTTCGGTAGTGTCCAATGAATGGAGGTCTAGCTACTCAACTGTCTAATTCTACTCAGTTGGCAGATGGTTGTTTGTATGTCTCGGGATTTGAATGAAAACCGTCAGCTGGTACTGGGTTTGAGTAGTATTTTGAACATATGGATGCCTGGTTTAACTGATCGGTGGAGTTTGTGCTGAAGGTATCAGCAATCTCTAGGTTGGTGATGTCCTTCCCATTAGGTTCTTTGAGAGAACACAACGCCTGGTTTGTAGGTTTTCTTTTAGTCATGAACCTAAAATGATGCTTCGCGTTTGCATCTATTTTGGCAGCTGACTTCATCTGAAATAGCCTACTTTCACTTCAAACCATGGTATTGAATCTGTTTCTCAAAGCCAAGTAAGAACTATTATCGGAATCCTTGAAGGATACCTTCCACTTGTGCCAGGCTCTCCTCTTCGACCGTAGTAATCGTTCAGTGCCGCGCCTAACCCATGTTCTTCTATTCCGGAGTGTGTGATGTGACTGAGGTACATTTTCTACGACAGCATCTCGGATGATATCTCTCACTGTTTGCCAGTGATCATCTGCTGTCAGTCCTCACCACTCCCGTGGCCATCGGGCATGTAGGAGGATCTCTCTCATACGTGTAAAGTTCGCCCTAGTGTAGCAAAGATAGGGCTGGTTTTCGTTGTGTGTGAGTGTTTCCTTTATGACCATGTTGAACAAGACTGCGACATAGTCACTACTTCCTATTGGTGTATGGACTTGAACATCCTCGACCAGGGGCTGACCATTTGTCGACAAATAGTCCAGATTTTGAGGACTTTCCTTCCTTGGTCCATCTAGTGACACTGAGTACGTGCTCAGTAAGGTCAGAGCTTCTAATTGCTGCTCCAAGTCGTCTTTGGAACCAACCAGTGTTAGTTGTACCATGATTGCTGAGATTTAGACATGGGGTATTGAAATCTCCAGCTAAGAGTATTTGATGAAATGCAAGGAGTGACAGTTGTAGTGTTACCTCAGTCAGTTTGTCTTTCTGGGCTTTAGTACCTGAGGGAGTCGGTAAATCCCTCCAATCAAGTATTTCGTGCCATTTGTGTGGAAACAACACCAACATGATTCTGTCACCTCATTTATTTGGGGGTCGTATTCCCGCTCCGCTTTTAAGTCGCTGTATATATTTATAGCCACTCCGCCTCCTGTTTGGTGTACCCTATCGCTTTGGGAAAGTGTCGTGCCTTGCAAGCTCACTTCGTCGTCTGCAATGTTTCGGTTAGGATTATGATCTTCAGATCCATCTGAGAGCACATATTCCTGATTTCTAACAGCTTACCCCTTAGTCCTCTTACGTTGCTGTAGAGGCTTACTTACTTACTTACTTACGCCTGTTACCCCCAATGGAGCATAGGCCGCTCACCAGTTTTCTCCAACCAACTCTGTCCTGGGCTTTCCTCTCCAACTCTGTCCAATGTTTGTTCATTCCTCTCATATCTTTCTCTATTTCTCGGCGTAGTGTGTTCCTTGGCCTTCCTCTTTTCCTTTTGCATTGAGGGTTCCATGTGAGGGCTTGTCTCGTGACGCAGTTAGGTGCTTTCCGCAATGTGTGTCCTATCCACTTCCAACGTTTCTTCCTGATTTCCTCCTCCACTGGAATCTGACTTGTTCTCTCCCACAGTTCGTTGTTGCTGATGGTGTCTGGCCAACGAATACGAAGTACTTTGCGTAGACAACTGTTCATAAACACTTGTATCTTCTGGATGATGGCTTTGGTAGTTCTCCATGTTTCGGCTCCATACAGTAGAACTGTCTTGACATTTGTATTGAAAATCCTGATTTTGGTTGACAGTTGTTTGGAGTTCCAGATATTTTTCAACTGTAGAAATGCAGCCCTCGCTGTGCGAATCCGCGCCCTCACATCTGCATCGGATCCACCTTTCTCGTCGATGATGCTACCCAGATATATAAAGGTGTTAACGTCCTCGAAAGCATCTCCATCAAGCGTGATTTGGTTGGTGCATGTTGTGTTGCATCGGAGAGTTTTGCTTTTTTCTTTATGTATGTTGAGATCCACTGCTGCAGAGACTGCTGCTAAACTGGTCGTCTTTTCTTGCATTTGTTGTTGAGTGTGCGATAGAAGAGCCAAGTCATCTGCGAAGTCCAGGTCGTCCAGCTGCGTCCTAACTGTCCAGTTGATACCGTGCTTCCCTCCAGATGTTGACGTTTTCATAATCCAGTCGATCACCAGGAGAAAGAGAAAGGGTGAGAGTAAGCAACCTTGCCTCACACCGGTCTTCACCTCGAAGAAGTTGGTTAGCTGTCCTTCGTGTACGATTTTGCAGTTGAATCTATCATAAGAATTCCGTATGATGTTGACTATTTTCTCAGGCACACCGTAGTGTCGAAGAAGCCACCACAGTGTTTTCCTATCCACGCTATCGAATGCCTTCTCGTAGTCGATGAAGTTGATGTAGAGTGGTGAGTTCCATTCAATTGATTGTTCCACAATGATCCGTAATGTAGCAATTTGGTCAGTACACGATCGATCCTTACGAAATCCGGCCTGTTGATCTCGAAGTTGGGCGTCTACGTAGTCCTTCATTCTGTTTAACAACACCCTGTTGAGGATTTTGCCTGGTATTGAAAGAAGAGTGATGCCTCTGTAGTTCTCACATTTGCTGAGATCGCCTTTCTTTGGTATTTTGATCAGGTATCCTTCTTTCAAATCTGATGGTACTTGTTCCTCATCCCAAATCTTCTTGAAGAGGATGTGAAATATTTTTGCAGTTGCTTCTACATCTGCTTTCGTTGCCTCTGCTGGAATGTTGTCTGGTCCTGCTTCTTTGCCGTTCTTGATCTGTCTGATGGCCGTACTGATCTCCTCAATCGTAGGTGCGCCAATATTAATTGGGAGGTCCGTGGATGCTGCTTCGATGTTGGGTGTGTTCAGTGGAGCTGGTCGATTCAGGAGTTCTTGAAAGTGCTCTACCCACCTATTTCGCTGTTGTTCAGTGTTGCTGATTACTTTCCCTTCCTTACTTTTCACTGGTCGTTCTGGTTTACGATAGTTTCCCGCCAGTTTCTTTGTTGTTTCGTACAATTGTCTCAAGTTTCCGTCTCTTGCAGCCTTTTCCGCCGTCATTGCTAAATCTTCCACATATTTTCGTTTGTCAGCTCTGATGCTCTTCTTCACTTCCCTGTTTGCTTCTGTGTATGCAGCTTGTGCGGTAACTTTCTCCGCTCTTGTTCGGCTGACATTCACTGCTGCCTTCTTGTTCCTCATTTCCTCAATTTTTGCAAGAGTATCAACAGAGATCCATTCCTTGTGATGGTACTTCTTGTGACCAAGAACTTCGTGACATGTTGAAGTGATTGCCTCCTTGATCCCTTTCCAATTGTTCTCCAATGTTGCGTCCTCCCCATTGTGTAGATCCTGAAAGGCCTGGAACCTATTGGTGAGGGCTATCCTGAATTCGTTGAGCTTTACAGTATCCCGAAGAAAGGCTGTGTTAAACTTCTGTGATGTTGTCTGTCCCGTTGTCCAGTGCTTCTTTAGTTTCAGTTTCATTTTGGCGATCAGCAAATGGTGACCTGAGGCTATATCAGCTCCCCTCCTGGTTCTCACATCCTCCATAGTCCTTCTGAACGTTTTGTTGATACAGATATGATCAATCTGGTTTTGAGTAGTGTGATCCGGTGAAATCCATGTAGCTTTGTGTATGCGTTTGTGCGGGAATATTGTGCCACCGATGACCAGTTTGTTGAAGGCACATAGATTTGCAAATCTCTCACCGTTTTCGTTTCTTTCTCCCAGTCCATGTCGTCCCATGATGTCTTCATATCCAGTGTTGTCCATAACCTTGGCATTCAGGTCTCCCATAAGAATCGTCAAATCCTTTGGTGAACATTTCTCGACGATTGACTGCAGCCTCTCGTAGAATTGACCTTTAACGTCGTCACTGTAGTCATTGGTAGGTGCATAACATTGGATGACGTTCATTGTAATGTCCTGTTTCTTTGTTTTGAAGGATGCTTTAATGATCCTGGGTCCATGAGATTCCCATCCTATTAGTGCCTTTTGTGCATGTTTGGACAGCATCAGTGCAACTCCTTGTGTATGTGAAGCATTTCTCCGCTTCATGACCAGAGTATAACAGCAGTTCCCCTGAAGCTAGTCTCAGTTGTCCTACCTGTGTCCAATGTGTTTCACTGATTCCAAGCACTTCGAGGTTGTATCTTTTCATTTGTGCCGCAACTTGAAATAGTCTTCCAGTCTCCCACAATCTACGAACGTTCCATGTACCTAAAAAAATGGTTGCTCTGGTTGTCAGAAGAGGCATCAGCCCCGTGACTTCCGAGGGAACTCGGCTTTCATCACGCGACGTCATAGTTCTTCCTCCAACTCCCAGGGCAGAGTTAAAATGGTTTGAATCATTTTTTCTGGTTAGCGTTTTTTGGCAAGTTAGTTTCTGACGGAATGGGGTCGCCAACCCCATGTCCAACCGTCCTCCTTTACCCGGGCTTGGGACCGGCAGTAGCCCCGAAGGTTCTACTGGCGGAGTTGCTGTAGAGGCACTTGGTGGTTTTTCTCATCACCCCGTGCACCTCTGCAGCAACAGGCGTTGTCGGTTGTTCAATTATTTCACATTTTTATACTTTTTACTTTATGGATAGTGAGAATGGATTTTTTCATCAATTGATGGTTTTGTAAAATAATTTCTATCTTGAAGTTCCACTAGTATGTTTTTTGTCGATTCTTGCTACCGGTCGAATCGCTTTTAGTTTCAGTATCTAGTACCAGTTTGGAAAAAGTAGAAGACTGGGTGGCCTATGCTAGCCCTGACACTGGTTGCCTCTCATCTGATTCGAATTTCTTCTGAATATATCGACAGATGGAGCTCCTATCACTTGTTGAGATGATGCACGATTATTCACCGGGAAAATCGATTGTCAGCTAACAAGTAAATCATGAATTCACTCAAAGTCACGTCTAAAAATTTTTGTTTACGAAGCTAAGAATAATGGTGGTGTAGTGGA